ACTATACATTGCGACATTTCTGACAAAAAAATTGTATCGGCCAAAATAAAAATTGGCAGATCAGATCAGTCTTTTTAAAGATCTGCATGCAGCAATCGGCCAGAAAACCACCTATTCCTGGTCTCACCTAGTATTTAATTTATACTAGGTGAGTCTTTCTCATTTGAGAACGTGGACCAGTACTGGGCTGATTTTGTGCCGTCAGTATATATACATTTTTTCCAAGTTTTGGCTCTAGTGGCCTTTATTTGAAAGTGTTACGACAGGAAAGTAGCAATGAGAGAGACGAGCAGCAAAGGTCACCAGGCCGGGATCCTAACCAGCGACAGCCACATCGAGGACCAAGTCCTCCCCATGCGGGTCGGGCCCTGGCCACCACAGCCCCCCAGTGTCAAATAAATTTAGCAGTGCTCCTGGAGAAGTTTCCCATAACTTATAAGTTGATGTAAAAATAATGCTTGTTTTTGCCACATACATTACCATGCTCAGCAGCAAACAACTGCAGCTTAGAGTATGTAGCCTGATGTAAAAACATTTTGCTAGACAATGTCAAACATTGTGACATATTAATTAATGTTATCAAACATGCCGCTTTGAAGCAAAAAAAAAAAATAAAAAAAAAAAAATTCAGAAATAAATAGGACCAACCACGATAATCAACTCATTTACAGCTACAATTCTAAACTTTTTAGATTTTGATTTACTTTGTGTTGCACTAAAAGTTTAGCAGCAGAATTTAATAAGAGGACAGCCATCATTTTGACAGTGTTAAATTGAGAATTGCAATCAAATGTTTATGGTGCAAACTTTTTTGACAAAGTTTGTTAAAGAACAATGCAGAGGGAAAGTTATAGGAGTACATAAACTTTTTCAAGGGAGTACAGTTAATGACATAAATATGCATTTGCAATTATTTTGTACCAAGTATCATCCTGCACATAGTAAAGCCATGGACAGCCTGGCACCACCACTATGTGTGGTTGATTCTAAAGGGCCACATTGTTCATGTGGAGCAACTCAAGCACAGATAACTGAATATGACAGAGCTGAGTGCACAATGGCCGCAGGCCGTGGTGACAAACTGTGCACTGGTGCTTCCTCTGCTTTACATCACCAGCCTGACAGATGCAGCTTTGTTCAGGCAAATTTTCTGCTGCTCTAATTTTGTCTTCCATCTACAGTCACCAGCAATGAAGTACTGAAGAGTAAAACTACTGGAGGGAAACTTTAACTTTTTTGAGTTTGTTTTGTTAGCAGGAGGCTAACAGGAAATTCATTTCATGTTCATTACTCTATCAAAAATGTGACTCTTGTAATCTTCATCTTTGGTCTGCTCTACGACAATCAAATTATTTTACACTAAATTGATTCGCACTTAAATGTTACAAATTAGATTTTTTTTTCGTGATAACTAAGATAGATCAAGTTTGAGCCAAACATGTATAATTTCCCAGCATTTATTGTTGGGAAAAACAATATGGATTTTATACTGGTAGTGAAACGGCTACTAACAATCACATTTAAAGGTCAACCTCTGAATGCTCCTCAGGACACAACAGCTGCTTGATGAAACCTGCCGTATTCCACTTTTAAAGAGCAGATACTTTCAGGACTCAGGGTTTTTGGATTTGGTTATCTTTCCATCATGTTTTAGTTCACGTTACGTTAGCCCTTTATGGTCATTTTAGTTTTATTATGTAAATATATGTAAATTATTTTTGGTTAGTATTATCTTGGTTCTTGTTTTCCTTCTTTCAGTTCCCTGGCAGTGCTTCTAATAGTTATTTCGCTACCCTTAATATATTTTTGTAGATCCTTATTTTCACATAATTTCTGGTTTGTTAAGTTTGATTTCAAGTATTTATGAATGTTTATTGCAAGTTTTGTACTACTTTTGTTAATTCATTATTAGACCAAGCTACTGCAATACATAAGTTAGTTAGTGCTTATATAAATTAAAATCATTGTATAATACAGGCTTTTAGTTTGTGCAAAACAGTAAAGTAAGAACAAGAAGCTAAATCATGTGGAATATTATTTCATTTATTTACATTAAGTGTATGTGCAGATGTTTATAGAAAAAAAGCTTAAGTAATATATTGTTTTTGTCTTTTAGTTTCACACTTCATTACTGTCAATAAGGCTGTGGACAAGAAAACAACTTTCCTCAGAGTCATGATATCAAGGCAGAATTTAGCTGACTGGGTTTAGCTGCATTTCCATATGGCGAAGGCAGTACAAGGCATTTACTGTAGCTTGGATGAATGTTATTATGACAGGTCCTTTTGTGATGAACAGCATTATATCAAAGATTAATGCCTTTTCTGGAATAATCTTTTTATCTGAAGTAATTTATAAAGTTGTCAGATCAAAAGTAAACAAAGTGTGCGAATGTTTAAAATGAGGACATTTATGACACACTTCACAATCTGTGCTTTTGTTAGGAGTGGAATAAGTCTTGAGTATCTATAGTCACACTTCTTAATATCTCATCATTTTCCCATAATATGGTTACATTTTAATTGGTAATAATTGCTGTAATAATGTTATATCAATAACAGTCAATGTGATTGATCACTTCATTGTTGAGTTCAACATACCAGCTTGGAGTCCAGTTCCTGAAGAGGTGGGTCAGAGAAGCAATAGTGGTGGAAGAGGCCCATCTTTTGGCTGAACAGGCAGTGAACAACATGAGCCCTCGCATTCTGCCATTTCACAAGGCGTACCAGGTCACGGTTCAGAGATGCACCCAGGTCCACAGACCAGTTATAACTGTACAGAGTCACCTACAAAAAGCAGACCTACCATGAATATTCAAAAAACGTTGAGGACAGACATTTTGCATTTCCACTACAGAACGTTGTTTCTCATTGTTTCTGTGTCTGCAGATATTGACTTTCTGTGGCCCAAGAACTGAATCTGGAGAAACTCTGTGTGTGTTTAGACAATCTAATGACAACTGTTGCTACATTGCATAGCTGGTAATTTAGTCATTCATATTCATAACATTGCCACATTAAGTTAATGTCACAATATTGAAATAAAAAAGAATAGCTTTTAAGTTCCTGAATGTGTTTTCTTTATTTGGCCCCTGCAGCAGTCACATAATTACAGTTTCACATAAATGATTACCTTTTTCTCTGCAATGCTGATGAATAGGAATCTCTGTCGGGGAGCTTGTCCTGCTTCAGGATGGCCAGGAGTTATCAGGTCAGTCTGCTCCAGAGCCTCAAACCGCTGGAAGCCCTTGTGAGCTGGCAAATCAAAAGAGAAAATATGGAAAAAATAGGACAGCAAAAACATTTCAAGTCACATCTTACAATCCTCTGAAAGGGGCTCTCAAATAAGTGTTTCATAATTTTATTCTTATATTGTCAAACGATAGTCAACAGACGCTACAGTCAAATTACAGCAATAATGTGAATTTTATATATGTATATATACACAGCGCCTTATGAAAGTATTTGGCCCCCTGAACTTTTCAACCTTTAGCCACTTTTCAGGCTTCAAACATAAAGATCTAAAATTTTCATTATTTTGTGAAGAATCAACAATAAGTGGGACACAATTGTGAGGTGGAACAAAATGTCTTGGATATTTTAAACTTTTTTAACAAATAAAAAACTGCAAAAAAAAGCGGCAAAAGGTTGAAAAGTTCAAGGGGGCCAAATACTTTTGCAAGGCACCATGTGTATGTATATATGTATATATATATAAGGTTAATTTGAAGACAGCACATTTCTTGTTGAATTCTGTGACAGATTATATGTTGTACCATTTATTAAAGAAAAATGTAAAAAAAAATAAAAATAAAAAAGAAGACCAGTATTATTGTTAATGCTAGCTAAGAGCCAAACTTACGTGTGAACCTATTTAGCCCTGGGGAGCTTTCCTCATCTGAACTGTCTTCTGCAGCCAAACAGAGATGGTACAAACAGCAAGGCAAGGTGGACAGTGAAACACAGCTCAACATATAATGATGTAAGCAAATGTTTGCAAAATAACACACGAGTGTTAGACTGCTGGCATTGACAGAGAAACACAGCACAGCAGGAGCAAGTACAGGATATTCAAAAGCTTTGGCACCAAACATGGCTTTGCACTTTCACACCACACAGGAGGCTAAAACAACAATATACTTCAGAAAGAAATTGATTTCAATTTATGCAGAAATTTACAAGACTCAGCTCCTTATGAAATTTGGCAACAACTTTCTTTTTGGTCTGGCATTTTCATTATGGCAACACATTTTTTCCACACAGTATTATTACATGAAATCAAAAGGGTTTATTTTATTTATTTTTTGGCTGGCTGTTTAATCCAGAATTCTCATTTTCACATCTGATTCTTCCTAACAGATCACGTTGCTCTCAGACTTACTGCTGGTTTCTAGAATTTCAAAAAGTACATTGGGAGGCAGATTGTTTAGTCATCAGGCTCGTCTCCTATGGAGGCCGACACTGCCTACTTTTAGCACCAGGGTTAAAACCGTTCTTTTTGATAAAGGTTATTGTTAGACTGGCTTAGGTTATCCTGAGCTTTTTCTATAGTTATGCTGCCACAGGATAAGGCTACTGGAGGAGAAGCTGACCACTTTCTCTCATTTTCTTTCACTATTCTTTGATTTGAATTGTTTCCTGTTGTTTTAACTGTTAACTTTTTGTTTGCTCAACTTATTTTTCTCTCTGTAGTCGCTGCACCTGGTCTAGCTTTCCGTTAGAACAGGAAAGCTAAGAAGCTGGGATTTCTTCTTGGAGGAGTGGATTGGCTGAGACAATTCTCCGTTCAACCAATCGTTTTGCCTCTCCTGCTCTTAACTTTTTCATTTCATGAACATCTAAAGTAATCCTACATGCATTCTGCTCTCTCTTCTCAAATTCCCAGTTGGTTGTGGCAAATAGTCACTTGTACTGAGCCAGGATCTGCTGGAGGTTTCTCCCTGCTAAATGGGAGTTTTTGCTCTCCACTGTCACCTCATGCATGATTCGTATGAGGAATTGCTGTATAGTCACAACACAAGCAATTGTCATTATGTGCTTGTCCAGGAGGAGTGAATGCTGTAAGTCAGTGGCTCAATGGAGCTACTCCATTTTCTTACCTACTTTGAATACCTAATTCAGCATACTGTACCGTTTCATAACTGGGATCAATTGTAATGCACATATATATGAATGAATTGAAATTATTTTTTGTAAAGTGCCTTGAGACAATATTGTTATGAATTAGCGCTATATAAATAAGCTGAATTGAAGTGAACTGAGGAGGTCATTCAGCCATTGGATGAAGGTATGTTGAACCAAGGGTACATCTAAAATCCTGGACCTTGAGGTCTGGATTTAAAGATGCCTGCTATAATGTTGAAAATCTGTGATGCATCATCTGCATCAGACAGCAAATGGCTATTGAAGTGAAAGTTAAGTTGTTCAAGTAGTGCCTGTGATAAACCTCACATTGCTCAGGTGGCCAGCAGTTCCATGTGTCACACAAGATGTCTGATTTTACACTGATAAATTTCAGCAGGTGGGTACCTTGCTCTGTGCAGCAGTGCCACTGGTAGAAATTTCGCCCAATGAGAATGAAGCTTCTTTTAGCGTCAGGAGGGTGGCTGCGGTGCTGGACAAGAGGGAATGGAAAAAACACATCTCCGCTGGGGCAGCTGTAAAAAGGTCGAAATTCAGAGACAAACATTTATGTGGTGTCTGAGACTGAGTGACATGTAAAATAAAATACTGCAGAACATAATGTAAAATTCTTTTTGTAATGTTTCATCGTCTCAGATGTAATTTAGACATATTCAAGACATTAAAACTTTATTGAAAATATAATAAAAGGTTTGTATTTGTATTAATCCCCCAAAAGTATTTAGCAAAGAAGTCTTGTCAAATGTTGTCTGTGTCATTAGCCAACATTTCTTTTTTTTTTCACAAGGCAGACTGACTATAAGGATGCTGACTGACATTCAGGCAGTGCACTGCATGAATTTAGGCTGTTAAACTCCAAAAATTGATGTACTAAAAATCACATTTGAGGAGCAGCTGAACTCTAAAGCCAACAGCCTTTGTGATTCTTTGTAAAATATGATTAACAAGAACAAGGAGTGTCTAAAGGCTGAATTTTCGTAGAGAGCAAAACAACTTCAGGACAACATGGACCCAGAGGTAAGTATTGTGATAAGAGGAATTGAACAAATGGAGGCTATACTGGACTGGGCTTGTGAGAAGGCCAGTACCAGATCTGAACCTGATCTGGTCGTGATTATCCCCAGATTACTCTGTTCCTATGGTGAAGGTATTCCAGCCCTGGTGAATGAGCTCCTCACAGTGAGACTATAGTAGGAGCTGTTTCGAGGCAGTGGCACTGTTGTTGCAGTTAAGAGGATCAAGGATAGAGGAAGACGCCCCAGTGAGATCAAACTGGAATTCGGCTCTTTCCAGGAAAATATTAGCTTTATACGGAATAAACAGCTTTTTAGAAGCAATGTTAAGTATGGACATGTTCACATTCGCTTGACAAAGAGCCATACTGAATGGTTTAATTGAGCTAAACTTTAAAACTTTATTGAATCAACTGCTCTTTGGCTATTAGTTTTGCATCATGGGAAGTAACAAAGTGACCAACGGTAGTCTGGAGGTGATGAGGTCTGTGGAAGAGCTGACGGTGACAACCGAGAGTCATCACTGTTGTCTGAGGTGGGAAGTTCTCCAGCTTAGCCTTTAAGTTATACTCCATACACTCTTCCACACTGGAATATGAATGGATGGACTTAAATTAACTAGGAGCTCAGACAATTGACACTGAGGAATTTTAATTCAGACTTTATTTCACTTAACAAGATTCACCTAGCCGGAAAAAAACCTAATCGAATTTGGTAGTCACACCTGGTTTGGACATAACAGAAAGACACATTAGATCCAAAAAAGGTTCTGGAAAAACTTGGCCCAACCATTTCCCAAAAAACATGTTTTATCATATTTTCATCGTCTTTGCATATTCATTTTAAAGTTATTTACTGTCATCAGAAGATAAGAGGATCTTCAGCATGTAATTCATGGCTTTGCCAGAATCCGTAAATTCCTTACCCACCAGTCTAAGATTAATACAAAGAGGAGCTGGGAATTGTAATCCGTAGCGAGAGTGGAGGAATTCAAAGATCTCTGTAAATGCAGTTCTGGTTCTGGCTTTGCTCGTAGTGGAATTGGGAAAATGCTGATCAGTTCTCCACTGAATTGAAGAGGGCCATGACTGCACGCATGGCACAGTATCTCCATATACTCCTGATGGAAGCTTAACATTCATGACCCATGACCCGTCACTCTTTTTCCCTTTTGCCCAATTCCAGTGTGAGCGGTCAATCACAGTTTCTCTCAAGCCTGGGCAACTGGGCTAGTAGTTAAGTAATGTGTTTCAGGGACATCGAGGACTCTGATATTCCACCTCTTCATTTGTCCTTCCATATCCTTTGTATTTTTCTTTCAATTCCACCAAATCCTTCTTCAAACGGCTCACAGTGTTCTGCAGCAAAGTCACCTCATCGGGCCAGGTAGGTAGTAAGCTTACAATTCTGCTTAAGGTTATATTTTAGCTTAAACTTCTAATCAAAAGGTGTTAAACTTCCCAGCTCTAGCAGTCAAAACACTCTATGACAAAAACTACTTTTAAAACCACAGCACCACATCCCATTAGTAGTATGCTAATGAGAAATGGCTGATTCAGAATGCAACAATTTGGAGGAAACTACTGACCTCATCCTTTCAAATGATTTTACTGTTGTGTCACTGGCCAAAGAACTGACCAAATTGACGACCTCTGTCAAAATGGAAGGCAGCAGGAAGTTGGATGCAATTTCAGTCGTGCAATGTTGGATGGAGGGGCAGCCTTTTCACCAGCAGTTGTCATGCATTTTTAAAAAGAGAAACAGGAAGAGCTATGATAGGTCATTGAACAGAAAAACTGTCATTGTCACATACATTTCTGAAATTTCTTTTGATTTAGTGCTAGCACACAGACAGAAACTCACCAAGTCTGGCCATAAATGTGATCCATGACTGACAAGTATCTTGGTAGACAGGGTGTAAAGTGCCTGCATCTCCCTCCTCCAACTGAGACACCTGCCTCCTAAACAAACATAAGTGTGCACAAAAGCTTTTAATGATGAATATTTTTCACAGACTGTTATAATACCAGTCTGGGGTTAGTGTCTGAATTTTCATTTTTAGTAACAGAGGCAAACAGCGTTGCCATTCAGCTAAATAATAAGGGAAAATCAAAACGCTAACTGTGAGAAATTTCAGTGAAGATTTGAGTGATTTATCTGTGGTTTTGCCAGAAGAAGCTAGATAGAGTGATGAAGAAGGAGCTGGTTCTAATAAAGGACTTCAACCCAATTTATTTGAGCCATATTATTCAGGAAGCAACAATGATTTTTTTTCTGCTGACTTGTTATAAAAACAACAAAGCATTTTTGCTTTGTTGTTTTGGATCATTTGGGTGAAATGTAAGTGCAAGATTTTTTTAAAGCATAAATTTGTGTCTTGTATTTAAGAATTTGAAGAAGTGAAGCTGCTATTTTGTATTCGTGAAAGATTGAAAAAAAAATTATATTTACAAAACTCCTATAGGATCTTTCTCTGCAACTTCAACTTCTCAGTTATATGACACAAATACCTCTGCACCAAAAGTACCTTCATATCCCACCACCAGATATCCAAGTTGGCAGAGCACAGAGCTAATTTTAGAAGTATTTTGAAACCGCTATTAATTAGCTTTTTTGCTGTGGAACTAAAGACAGAACTGTCGCATGGTGGTTTAACTGTCTCTAGGTGAAACCTTTGTTTTGCAGAAGCTTTACTTTGTGGGCCCTAAAGGCTGAAGCCTAAAATATATGACATGAAGACCTTATCAGACGTTTCAGCCACACCACCTTTGAGCTTGCTCAAGCTCCACAGCCACAGCTCTCTCCTGACTCCACTGCTGCTTTACGTTCTCCGTCTTGTGTCTTCGTCGTGCTGCTCTGCCCTCTTCTCCCTTTTCTTGAACAATGTCATCAGTTGTCTTGGGGCTCCCAAGCTCTGCTGAGTCGGGTTTACTCTTATGTAAGAAAAAGATTAGCTCTGTTTACAGATAGACTATACAAATTAGTATAGTACTTTCAAACACAAAAGTACTAATTAAATAAGTTTATAGTGAAGAAGCCATGTAATCACTGAAAGAACAGCTCTGTAATAAAAGTCTATGATGTTTGAAAAACTGACCAGAATATCCCAAAAGCTCCGGCGTGAGCTTTTATTAGTAGGAGTAGTAGATTCTGGTGTGCTGGTCCCCATCACCGGGTTGACACCTGCTGAATGGATTAAGGTGATTGGAGAAGGGCCGCTTTTAAAGATCCGTGAGCCACTACGTTGCCTGGGGCTGTCCTTCTTTTCTTTCACCTCAGACAAAGATGTCTCTTGTCCTGAAAACAGATTTCACAATAATACAAAGTCAAACAAAAGTTTGTGGACATTTGCTAATACTAGAAATCAATAAATCAGTTCATTCTAAACAAGTTTTTACTATGATAAAACTGGCAAGCAACATTTATTCCTTTCTGCAAGCTGTAAAATGCAAAGGTATTATATTAATTTGTGATGCCTCTTTGACAAGTCAGAGGGAATCTCAGGATTTGTGATGGTTTTACATAATACTTGTAATACACTGCAGAAAAGTTTGCAGGATTTAAATTTTATGGTAGGCATTTAAAAAAAGTTAACTAATATTTTTCAAGATAGTGTTACCTTTAGTTCCTTCTCTCTGACCTCTGTCTGAGCTTGCTGTGACACCAAGGCAAAGAGGATTTCGCAGGACTCTAAGTTCCATGATGGCATCACAGAGTGCATGGCGCAGCGCCCCTTGCAGTTTATCACTCAGCTGTAAGGGGCTGATGTTCCCTTGTTCCCAAATATCAAAGCGCACGTTTAGTTGGGCTGCTGAAAGAAATCAAACAGAAATACTTTAAAGCAAAAAAATATGAGTATTATAAACCTAAGTAGAAAATTCCAGAAGAAAGTTTAAAGAGGCCTGTGGCTTTCTGCGTGTCATTCGAACCCGATTCAGTGGCTCTGTTGCCAAGTTAGGTCCTTGCTCTGTGTGGTGCACCTAAAAATGTCACCACATTATTTTGATTGTTTTATGATTTTGAAATATTTTCATATACAATTTGTTCTATTTTTATTTTACAAAAATGAACAAATTATGTTTTGTTTGCATTTCGGCATATTAATCTGCCTGCATTTAGTGCTTTCCTGAGGTTGGGATGGGAGCAGTAGTTGCAAAGCGGAACCTTTGTTTGGGGGGAGTTGCTTCCGGGTTGGTTTTGGGGCGGACTTTCCTGTTTGCCTCAGACGCAATCTGGATGGTAATGGCAGCGCTTCGGTTGTCATTGCTAAATCCTGTTTTATTCTTCTTCAGAGTAGTACACAGTGAAAACACACCATAGCTACTCTGTAAGATGTTAACCTCTTATTTCACCAGTAGATGCCACTGTGTTACGTTTCTAAGCACCATTTTGCTAATAGTTGAGAGTTCTAACACCCAGGGGTTAGAAGGGGAAGTCCTGCAGGGTTAGGTGATTAGAAAACCGTGATGTCTTACTAACTCCAGGTGTTATATTTTGCTTTTGTTTGAATAATATACGGTGCATGTTGCTTGTTGATTCATAAAGTAGCTCAGAGCATGAGTGTAAAGTGAGTCCAGTCAAAGTTAATGGTAGAGAAACTATTCTTTGTTCATAAAGTGTGGGAATTCAGAGGTTAAAGTTGTAACAATGCCATGTTAAATTTTAGATATACGGTATTTTCCGGACTATTAGCCGCACCAGAATATAAGCCGCAGATATCTCTGCCGCTCCAGGTTTTCCACAACGATGCAGCACGCAGCAAAGAGGGACAGACACCCAACAATTGAGTCATAACAGATCAATTGAATATCACATTTATTACGGTTGAAAAAGAAAAAGTTGCCAAGTTTAGATTTAACTGAACTGATTATGAGGGTATAAGTTTGAAGAGAAAAATCTCCTTACTGTCTGCTACTAGCATGTGCTAAATGAAAATGGGCGCCTTCTTCTTCTTCTTCTTCTTCTTCTTCTTCTTTAGATTTCAACGGCAGCTTGCATCCATTATTGTTGCACTACTGCCATCTACTGGATCCTAATATCAGTACCTCAAATTCTCATAATGATCCCAGTATTATTTAAAAAACAAAAAATCTTCTTTTTCCCCCTCAGTGCTATTTAACTGATTAACAACATTCTCAAATTTCAATTCCCTATTAAAACCTAATTCCGTTTTAATGGGCGCTTTCTTCTTTTATTTCCAATTTTGACTTCCAATGATTCACTTCCTGCTAAAGAGCCCCCTGGTGGTTGAAGAAAAATCCCCATATAAGCTGCACTGGTTCGAAGCTTAGAAAAAAAGTAGCGGCTTATAGTCCGGAAAATACGATATTTGTAACTCTTGTAATTTTATTTTCGATCATTCATAAGCTAAAAACATAGTATATTTTGATGTTTATGCCAATTAACATGCAGCTAAATGCAGTAAAGCTTTAAAACAAAGAATGGGAAAATGATCAAAATTTTTTCCACTGCTGTTGCAAAAAAGCGGGCTGCCTTTATTAAAGTCAAGAAAGTGCTCCATTCCTGCCTGGGTGTTTAGTTTACCCTTTTCTACTCAGCTGTATTATGGATAACTTTGCCAAATGGACAGGTTCAATGGTTCGAAGCAGCTTCCTGTGCCATTGACTTTGTAGAGAAGAATCTGAAAAATGTGGTGGCCCTGGTCTCTGTTTAAAAATTGACTCCATAATGTTTCTAGGATCTGTATCCCCAGAGGTTCTACATAATGCTACTGCATCTTTAAAAAGTTAGAAGAGGGGTATACTTCTTTTTTCAATACATGGTAACTCTTTGATGACTTCTATTTCCCATTTATTTGTCTTTTTTAAAATTACCATCAATAATTTTAAATAAATAAAAATGTATATATGTTTTTAAATTTTTTATTTTCTTTTTTTTGTTTTTAATCATCTGTTATTTTATTTTATTCATTTATGTTTAATTTATTTTCAATTTATTTAATTTTTCTTTTTTCTCAATAGGTGTCTTTTTCTGTAGTATTGTTAAGATGCATCTTATTGTTTTATCACTAGTTATATTCCACAAGGAGGGGTCTGCTTTTTACCAAAGGGTAGCCTGCATTAACTGCTCCAAAATTAATGTTCTTCCGTGTTTTTTATATTTATTTCAATGTGTTCCAATCATCCTTACTAATTCCGTCTTTAAGGAGTTAGACGGTCTTATTTCTGACTTTGTTTGGAAAGGGAAGACTCCGAGGCTGTCTGGGCAATACTTACAAGGACTTAAATCACTTGGGTGGATGGCCTTACCCAATTTCAGGTACTACTATTGGGCTATTAGAGATTTTAAAGCCTGGCTTAATTGTGGAGCCCCCTCTCCCAATGACTGGTTAGTTATGGAGATAAATTCTGTAAAACTTGTTTCTCTTATGGCCCTGCTATATTTATCAATTCAATCTTCCACCATTGCATATACAAAAAATAATATATATAAAACTTCTCTTAAGATCTGGATACAATTCCAACATCCATTTGGCCTACAGGCTTCATCTCCTCATACACCTATTGCAGTAAATCATATCTTTACTCCCTCCCTTGTGGACAAAACCTATACGACTTGGTTTAATATTGGCATACGGACCTTTAAGAACTTATTCATTGATAATGATAGATTTGCTCTTCCATTGCATCACTTTTTTTAGATATCTACAAATTTGAAGCTTCATTCGTAGTAATTTCCCCAGTTTCCCTCATCTGCAGATAGACTCTGATCTGGACTCCCTGCTTTTGTCCACTACCAGGCTAAAAGGTTCCATCTCGATTCTGTATAATTTAATCACCTCTGTGTGTTTGAGATCTTTAAACTTGATTAGGAGTCTTTGGGAGCAGGATATTGGGGGGAACTTATCAGATGAGCTCTAGTGATGTATTTTGGCGCGATACGCAAGTCCTCAATTTATGCTAGGCACTGTCTTACTCAGTGCAAACTGGTGCAGAGTGTGTTATACCAAATCCTGTCTTCTCTAAAATGTATAGTTCTGTCTCTTCAGCATGAGCCAGATGCCAACAGTGCACTGAAAATATCAATAAGTTTTGGCTGTGCCCCCGATTCAATACCTTTTGGATGGAGATTTTTTTCTGCTACGTTGAATGTGGTTGGGAGGAAAATTGACCCGAATCCCCCGAGTGCTTTGCTTGAGTTTTTTTCTGGAAGGCCCCCCTTTACTCCATCTCAGGGAAGTGCTCTGGCTTTTATGACCATCATTGCTGAGAGAGTAGTAATATTCAAATGGAAAACAACTCTACCCCCTTTGTTTTTACACTGGCTTAGAGATATTCTCTATTTTCTTAAACTTGAGAAAATTAGGATGACATTGCGTGGCTCTTCTGAGTATTTTACACTCACTTGGAATCCACTACAACTGCTTTCAAGACAAACTAACTTTCCCTCTATAGCAGATTAGCTACATTTAGTATTTGTTTACTTTTTTTTATCTCTATTTATTCATATTTACGTATATTTTATTTTTTCCTGAAGGTGCCCTCTATTTCCCTTCTTGTTTCTCTTTCCTTGTTGCGTATGTACATAATTAACTCGATGGAAATGGCAACACTGACATGCGTTATTTGAAAATGTGGTGGTTCCATTTCATCCCTTCTGACTGCCAGAGGTGGTGCTTTAAGCACTGAATGATCATTCTTGTACAAGCGCAGGTCGAGTGCTAATGACAACAAAGTCACCTGTGACCTGCTGGTGTTCTCAATGTACTCAACACGCAGGTGTGTTGAGTACAGGTGTGTGGTTGTGTGAAACTGGTTGCTTATGTGTGTATCTGCGACTCAGTGAAGGAACGGGCACTGAACCAAGAAATCTGCACGTTGCTAGTCCAGGGAGCAATAGTGCCTGTGGACGCCCTGCTGGATCCAGAGGGCTTTAATTCCCTGTATTTTCTGGTTCCGAAGAAGAAGACCAGGAGTGTACGTCCAGCCTTGGACCTCAGGGGCCTGAATGTGTACTTGAAGGTCATGCCTTTTCGTATGCTGACCACCAAGGAAGTTTTGCAGGCACATTCCCCGGGTGATTGGTCCATAGACCTCAGGGAAGCTTATTTTCATGTTCTAATCTCTGCGTCTCATTGGCGGTTTCTTTATTTTGCTTTTCAAGGGAGGCACTTCCAGTTCAGGGTCCTCCCGTTCAGACTTTCACTGTCTTCCAGGATGTTCACCCGATGTATCGCAGTGGCCCTCTCTCCTCTGCAGGCACAATGACTGAAGATCCTCCTGTATCTGGACGACTGGCTCATTTGTGCAGTGACACGGGACCAGTTAGTGCTTCATCGTGTGGGATGCTTGGGCTTGCAGGTGAACATGGAGAAAAGCAGTCTGACTCCCTCATAGAAGACAATATTTCTGGGTATTTCCATGAATTCCATCTGAATGCCTGCTTGCCCGTCAACCCAGCAGGTCAACAGTATATTGAGCATGCTCCCAGTATTCAGGCGTGGCATGGTGCTGCCTCTTGTGCGGTATCTTTTGGGTATGCTCACAGCTGCATCCGTCAGCTGTGAGCATACGACAGCAGTGACAGCAGTGCCCTTGGGATTGCTGTCATTGAGGCCCCTCCAGATGTGGTTGAATAGCTTGAATCTGGACCCCACATGGAACACTCGTCTCAGAAGACTTTGAGCGGGGCCTCAGTGTCTTCAGTCTCTGTCTCAGTGGAGCATAAGGTTGTTCAAGACAACAGAGGTCCTGCTCTGCAGTGTTGTAGTACTCAAAGTTGGTCTTGATCTCGAGAACGGTCTTAAGACCATTTCTCGATGGTCTCGGTCTCATCTCGTACTCGCCCGCATTTGGTCTCGGTCTTGTCTCAGTCTCTGAGG